CTGGATCCAACTACGCAGGAAAACTTCCACAAAATTCAAAAATAACGTAACCGAAGAAGCGCCGGTTGGCTTTGTAACGACCAAAAAGCCCCGCTCTCTTCCAAAATTTTCTATTTAAGCCAAAAGCCCTTCTCCTTTCTTCAACATCCCGTCCGCCAATCACGCGAAGCGTCGATTTTTCAACTTCTTGCTAAACGGCACGTACGCCCGGCAATTCTGCGAAGAACCTTATCTCTACTTCGCGCTATACCTCGTTAACGGCAAATAAAATTTAAAAAGAAATTTACATCGAAAAAAATTCTAGGAATAAAATAAAAACAGAACACTTCTAAGAAATTGAACCAAAACTATAACATGAAATTTACGCAATCCTGTGTCTCAAATTATTAATAACCCCCCCGGTTAATTAATTGAACTAAACAAAATTGTCACATCCAGACGCTCTATAATTTCTTTCAAGTTACAACTAAAACAAAATAACACAACATTTTCCCCCTTTAAATTGAACACAAAAACACAAAATTACAATCCTCCCCTGACTATGAAAACAAAACAAAATATTGGAATTACAGGGTTTTTTTTTCAATTTACCAATTAAAACTTTAAAAAAAACTTCGGGACCTGCTTTAGGTATTCGGACACGATCGCCTAACACAGCTCCCTAGTCATTACTGAAACCCCGCACGGTGACGTCACCAGCTGAGCCTGAGAAATTTCATCATCCTAGTATAAAAATTTAAGAACTACCACTAATTTACTGTAACTCTACAACCCTTAGCTAACTATTCAAATGCCGGATAGATCGAACCATCTTCGGCGTTGTTTCAACCTAGGTCCGACCTATTCCAGCAGTAACCTAACCTATCATCCCTAATCTAAAATTAAATCAAAGTCAAAAATCTCGCACTGTACTGTCAACCAAATACGCCTGGGAACCATCCCTATCATTCCTAATCTTTTTCCTAAACTTTTTCCATTCTCGCTTTTCTTTTCCTCCCCCCTTTTCTAAATTAATCCAGGGCTTCTCTATAAAAATCCCACACATAAAATAATCTCTTAATTCTTCAATTACAACAATCCGTTTACCCTTTTCACTCATAATTAAATTATTCAAATAATCAATGCCTACTACTTCCAAAAACTCACTACTCCTAACTCTTTTAATCTTATCCTGCTTCCTACAATCCTCATCCTGCTCAAAGCTACACAAATTCCCTTCATTCTCAATCGATAATTCCAATTCTAAGTCTCCTACTACCCTATCATAATAAAAATTCCTCCAAAAATCCTGAAAATAATTCTCCCTTATCTGGTTATCTAAAATCTCATAATTAGTTCCTATCTCCTTCCCGCCTATTCCTTTCCTTGATAAAACGTCCACACATAAATTATTATTCCTTTTTAAACTATTACTCCCTTTCACATACTTAATCTCAAACAAATTCGCCTGTAAATTTCTACCCCTACAATAAATCTTATTATCCACAAAACTCTTCGCTATTAAATAATTCAAATCCCTATTCTCATCTTCTATTTCAAACTTCCTATAATTCACGCAATACAACTTCACCTTCAATTCTGGTTCCCTACCAGTTCCTGCAATAAAATAACTACCTACTTCAACCCTATTTTCAACTAAAATCCCTTCATCTTCTTTCTCTTGTACGACTTCTTCATCTTGCCTATGAACTTTTTCAATCTCGACTTCTTCCTTAACTTCAACTTCTTCTTTAATTACCATCTCATTTGATCGCTTCTTTCTCATTAATTCTATTTCTTGTCTGATTTCTTCCTTTAATTCCGCTTTTAATTCCGCTTTTAATTCCGCATTCTGCGCTTTCATTTTTTTCGCCCAAATCCTTCTTCAACTCTCTTATCGCTTCTATAAACACCGCAAAATTCGCTGCCTGAATAGATGACACTCCCATCGTGAACAACTCTTCTTTCTTCTCGTCTTGAATAAAAATCACGTTCCAAAAAAAATCCTAACACTAATTCTAACACTACCTACCCCGTAACTAATCCTATCCTAAACATCCTAATCTAATTTAAATTGCAAAAACACCCTACCAAATTCTTCCTGTCACATTTTAACAAGTTCCTACGCCTACGCATCCTACAAATTCCTATAACAATTAACCTCCACAATGTACACCTCTTTTCCCTGAAAAATGACATGTCTGGGTACCAAAATAACTTTTTACCCGAACGACAAAACAACCCTAATCTGAATTTACCTACAAAATTTTTACCTACTTTCGCGTTTCCCTGAAATTGCCCCACGTTTTGGGCGCCAAATTATTGTTGTGAGACCTAACCTTCACTTCTGGGAATCCCACGATTTACCTCTAGCTAGCTCAGTTGTAATTAAAATGAAAACAAAATTTTTATCCGCATCTCAAGGTCCAGCTGGATTCTGCCACCCTACAGCATTCCAACAATGACATAAATAGGTGGCTTAACCAAATCCTTAAATTCCAATATGAAACTTTACCCCCAGATTTAATAAACTTGAAACAAAGTAAGAGACGCCGACAATTACCTCTCCTTGACTCTAATAAACAAAACCTGGATTGCAATGACTGGTTTAATTTCAAACAAAAAATTGCGTAAATTTCTGTTTTACAAAATGTTACAATTTTAAACAGATAAATGACACACACAAAAAAAAACAAATTACTCAAACATTACAAAAAAAAAACATGACAAAACAAAACACTAACTACTACTTACTTTTAAAATTAGTCCGAATAACGTATTCCGATAAAAAGAGGTATCCGTACACAATCACGTAAACCAACCACTCAAACACCGACGTCTTCTCTCTTCGGGTACCCACAAATTCAAAACTTCCGTGTTTCCGCAAAATAAAACAAACAGGACGGCGACAAACTTCTTAAACTTCTCAAAAATTCTTCTTAAAACGGCAGACACAAAAATTCTAATTAAACCTGGATCCAACTACGCAGGAAAACTTCCACAAAATTCAAAAATAACGTAACCGAAGAAGCGCCGGTTGGCTTTGTAACGACCAAAAAGCCCCGCTCTCTTCCAAAATTTTCCTATTTAAGCCAAAAGCCCTTCTCCTTTCTTCAACATCCCGTCCGCCAATCACGCGAAGCGTCGATTTTTCAACTTCTTGCTAAACGGCACGTACGCCCGGCAATTCTGCGAAGAACCTTATCTCTACTTCGCGCTATACCTCGTTAACGGCAAATAAAATTTAAAAAGAAATTTACATCGAAAAAAATTCTAGGAATAAAATAAAAACAGAACACTTCTAAGAAATTGAACCAAAACTATAACATGAAATTTACGCAATCCTGTGTCTCAAATTATTAATAACCCCCCCGGTTAATTAAATGAACTAAACAAAATTGTCACATCCAGACGCTCTATAATTTCCTTCAAGTTACAACTAAAACAAAATAACACAACAATATATACCATGCATATCGTTTCTAGGTACCTTTCATGTTGTATTATTTTCCGTGTATAAGCAATTACTATTTAAATAAAGCGAACTGATAGTTTTATTTCCAGCAATTTTAAATTAAGTATTTTTCAAATAGCAAAATTACTAATTTAAGAATCATAAAATACTCAACCTTCACTCGTACAAGTTTAATTTAGTTATAAATTCAATGGTCATGATTTTTAAAATTCTAATTTTTAAATCCGAGCGAGTAAATAACGCATGCGCTTTAAACGGAGTCACGTCGGAATTCAGACTCCGTGGACTGCGTCAAGTACGGTACGCCCCTGTATTTGTCGTAACGTAGAAAATAAAATGGCTACCTATGTCGCTTTTAATAACCATGTATGTTTTGGTCTTTTTTTCTACGGCAGGAATGTTGGACTTACCTTCAAAATGAACAGGAACCGCATTTCCGCGTAACATTTTCCGTTTGCTGTTATGGTAAATGTGAATTGGTGAAAAGTGATCCTCGCATATCAATTTATTGGCCAGTTTATCATAAGGTAGTTCTGCCACGACCGGGTTTCCACAATTTATCCTCCATGTTTCCGTACGCTCCTGATCTTTTACAGGAAATTTGAAAAAACTGATACCCTTGAAAGCTCGATCGGTCTTGTAACAGTTAAAATACACGCAGGTATGACCTGCCGTACTCATTTTTCATTCGCGCGATATGAAAAATGTGATTTAAAACGAACGCGATTTCTATACTTGAAAACAAGGAAAGATAACAGCAAATCTTGAGAACAAACGGCCGTGTAAGTTTGGGAACCACCAGCGACTGACAACGCCGTCTAGCTTTCAGGGCCATATTCGTACGAGAGGATTGACATTAGGTAGCGCCTCTCACGTTTCTCCGCGCGTATTTACACAACAGATCAGATTGCAGTGGCTCGTTTGTAGTCGGTTTCCTTCTTTTGATTAAAGCAGTTAATGCAAGAGGAAACATCTTAAATTTTATATTTATTTATTTTTTATTTACATTTCGTAAAAGTAGGTAGGTGCAACAAAAACAAAAAATACCTATCCACAGAGCTGTGGGTAGACAACACACATTGCACCATTTCTATTTACGTATGTACCTTGTATTTTATAATCAAACCAGAGACATGGAGAGAGGAGATAGCGCATGAAACTGCGCGAAGTGACAAAACAAGGGGGCTGCCATTTTGACACCCATTGAAGCGCGAAATTTGAACAGGACTATAAAGGTTTACTGACGCAACCCAGAGACATCTAACGCAATCTTCATACACTACACTCTATTCGGCAGCAGCTCCGTAGGAAGAAACTAATATCTCAATCCAAATGAACAAAAGAAAATGCCAGTGACGTTGACGTTACAAAATAAACACTTAAACCTCGAAAAAAGCTCTCCTAAACACGAACACAATCTAAAATAACACCACTATAAACACAACATGACACAACGGGTGTAAAAATGGCAGCGCCCATGAGGTCGCACCCTTTCTTGGATGCGCACTCGTCGATCAGCGATCTCCTCTCTCATGTCTCTGAATCAAACTCATAGGTATGTACTATCAAAGAGTATATACGTTATATACTCTTTGGTACTATGTACCATTGAATAAGTAACTTATTCATGTATGTACTGGTATGTACGGATATACGTAGGTAATCGTTTTTGGAGTTCGTATCTAATCATTGAATAAGTAATCATACAATGAGCATACTTATACAACGATCAAATGGATTTTCGGTGTCGATGTGACCATTAATACCTTAGTCTAGCCTTTAGATAATATAACGTTGACCAGATTTCTGCCACAGCAGGTTCGTCTTTGAAAACACGTGTTCCGTTACAGCATAATTTGTACCCGGAAACACGCCAATTAAGTGTACGGTAAATAATCACGGGTTTTTTTCAACTAACTCACTGAGATAGAGTAGCTCTTGACATATACTAAAGTTATTCAATTATACTTTCAGACCAGGCCATTACTGTGTAACAAAGAAACTGTGTCGGCGAACAAAGTGCGATTATAATTTTGGGTTACCTAAAATAATTCCCGCCGTCGAAGTTGAATGTACGGCGAAAGCATTGCATAATTGTGGCCGATGTGGCGATATTTGCAAGGACGATTATTGGCATAAAAACTATACCAGTTTTCTATGTCACATTTGTATGGAGGAAGAAAAAGTTTTGAGGGAAGACTTTACCATGAAACAATTGAAGGAATTTCAAGTAAGTAACTAGGGCCCAATATCAACATAATTATCTGCATTAGAGTTGGCAAGTAAATTTATAGAGAGCTTCAAACAAGATAAGTTAAGCTATATAATTTTTATTGAGCAATTCCTATACGCAGTGGCGGATTTACATATAGGCACACTAGGCACGTGCCTAGGGGCGGCACCTTTAGAGGGCGGCATTTTTTGCACTACATTTATTTTAGGTAACATTTTAAGTTTTAAAATACGCCCCCTAAGAAGTTACAAATGACAAAAATCTTTAATTAAAATTAATTGGAATTGGGAGATTTTTTAAACAAACTGTAACTGCAAGAACAATAATCGAGAATCCAAGTTTTGACGTGTGTAAATACTTAATCTTAGGTACACTGTATTTCTTTTCATATTAGTTTAAAAAATTTCAAGTTATAAAATTTGATTCCTATTAGCATCTTAAAATTTATTGCAATTTAAAGATTATTTTGGGGCGCATATCTTTCGGTGTGCCTAGGGGCGCAAAAAATTTAAATCCGCCACTGCCTATACGTCGTCTAGTATAAAAACAGTCCCAGGTAGTTGCCCACTGCAAAACTTATGTCTTTTTCTTCGCATGGGCTAGACAGAGACGAAAATATAATAGCATAATTTGTGTACCTACACCTCATAGGCGACCAAGTTTTGCGAAGGGCGGCTACGGGCGACGATTGACGTGACTGTTTTTATACCAGAAGAGCAATAATAAAATTTTATTTTTCAGAAGATACGCCTCTGTTGGTATAAGCATAATCATGAAGGCGTGGATGCCTATACACAGTTATATTCAGACGAAAAATTGAAACGAAGAGAAAGGTGTGAAAATTACCTCAATCTATACATTGATTCTATTAATAAATAACAGAGTGTACCTACAACACATTTAGACTAAATTATTTAATAAAAAAATTGATTGAGACACAAATAAATTATAAAGAATTGCAAAGATTACTATACCTACTTGCATTAAATAACAAAAAATACAATAAACTTAAGCTCCACGATGCTCTCTTGACGACAGCTCAAACCAAGATGCAGACTAACATGAAAGTCGTTCCCGTCGCGCGGTTGCCAGCTTTCAAAACCATGTGCATAACTGCATAATCGTAGGGGATATAGGTATATTCAGAGTGGAACCTCTCATGAATGTTTTCAATATTTTACTCTAAACAAATTTAGCAACAAAATTTTAAAATTCTTCTTTTTTTGCACGAATGGTGGCGCTGAGTAGAAGTATAAAGCTGCTATGTATGTGGACACAAGGATAACTTTATGGGATCCTACTTCCAAGGTGGTACCGAGAATTAAGGAAGTAACAACAAAAATTTAAAAACTCATGGGATTTGGATGATCCTGCTGCCAAAGTGTTCCAAATTTCTTTCACCTCTGTCAGTTTGTGTTAACCGTGTTAACGTTAAGCATAATCCAGAGACATGGAGAGGGGAGATCGGTGATCGACGAGTGCGCATCCAAGAAAGGGTGCGACCTCATGGGCGCTGCCATTTTTACACCCTTTGTGTCATGTTGTGTTTATAGTGGTGTTATTTTAGCGTGTGTTCGTGTTTAGGAGAGCTTTTTTCGAGGTTTAAGTGTTTATTTTGTAACGTCAACGTCACTGGCATTTTCTTTTGTTCATTTGGATTGAGATATTAGTTTCTTCCTACGGAGCTGCTGCCGAATAGAGTGTAGTGTATGAAGATTGCGTTAGATGTCTCTGGGTTGCGTCAGTAAACCTTTATAGTCCTGTTCAAATTTCGCGCTTCAATGGGTGTCAAAATGGCAGCCCCCTTGTTTTGTAACTTCGCGCAGTTTCATGCGTTATCTCCCCTCTCCATGTCTCTGGCATAATCACACCAGTTATCAGCTGCAATATACAGGGTGTTTCAAAATTCGCGCACACGGACTGTGGGATGGCGGGTTATGCAACGAAAACCGAATAAAAAGTTCCTCTACCAGTTTTTGATCAGACCGGCACTTTTCGAGTTGTCGTTCGAAAAATCTGATAATGAAAATGCCGGAAAACAAAAGATATAAGTAGTTCAATAGTTATTTATTGTAATTATCGTACAATTCAAATTGTGAAATAATGGCCGGTAATTATTCAAATCGAGAATATTACGATATGCTGATGTGATGGCACTTGGGGCTTGTAATAATCGAGCAGGGCAAGCGGTGCATTTATACGAGTTGCGACATCCTCTGCGGCGGCTACCAGATGCTAACGTTTTTAGAAGATTAGAAGACCGAATTCTGTTCAATGGTAGGTAATAATGTTGCGGTGCAGAGCAGAGCTGGGCAGAGCTTGAGGGCTTTGTGCTTGTAAAAGAGCTTCAAGTCCTTTCAGGACTTTCAAGCACTTTCTTGTGTTTGTAATTAGGACTTGATGGTAATTGAATTACTGGTCCAAAGTGCTTGGGCCTTTGAACTTCAGGGAAAAGTGCTTCAAGCCCTTTTTCCTCTACAAGCCCTTTTCGGCTTTTCAAAAGTGCTTTGTGCTTGTAAAAGTGCTTTCAAGCTCTTTCAGGGCTTCCAGGCACTGTGCTAAATTACAATTTTATTCAAGCACTTTAATCACACATGAACATTGTGTGGTACGAAAAAGAAAAATTACCTCTCAGCATTTCTTTTTTAAGAACACGGTATCGCATTGTGCAGTGTGCATGTGCATAGCATTCAGATTCAGTATGCTTTTTAGCGTTAAAACTTAAAATGAGAGTTATTTAATTAAAAGTTTTGCGTGGTGTGTTTGTGTTTTAATTTTACAATTTAATTTAAATTTGTTAAAAAGTTTTTAGGCAGTGTACGTAGCTGAAAAACTATAGTGACTTTTCATATACCCTTAAGAACATGTGTACCAATTTTCAAAGCGATCGGACGTTTCTAAACAAAGTTGTTGTGCACACGGACAAACAGCAATGACAAAATTATAAACGATCTCAAGGGTCGTTAATAAGGATTCAGGAATTCGAGTAAAAGTGCTTCAAGCCCTTTTCCTAAAAGTGCTTTGTGCTTGGGAAAGTGTTCAAGTCCTTTCAGGGCTTCAAGCCCTCAAATTGTATACAAGCCTTGTCCTAAAGTGCTTTGTGCTTGAAGTTCAAAGCCCTTTTAGAAGTAATTTGTAATTTCAAGTCTTTCTGATGGCCGGTAGTAGGTAATTTGTGCTTGACTTGAGTATCGAAGCACATTGACTAAGGGCTTTGTGCTTAGAGCTGTGCAGTAAGGGCTTTGCCCAGCTCTGTTGCGGTACCACAACAGAGCTGTGCAGTAAGGGCTTTGCCCAGCTCTGTTGCGGTGCCACAACGTGTTTTTAAAAATGTGTTATTATTATTAATATCATTGAATAATTATTATTCAATGTTATTATTCAATGTTAATATTAAGTTTAACCAGTGGCGCAGCGAAGGGGGGGGGCGGTACGGTAGCTCGAAAAATAGCTGTGTGATGGAAAACTGGTAGAGGAACTTTTTGTTCAGTGTTTGTCGAATACACCATACCATAGTCCGTGCGCGCGAATTTCGAAACACCTTGTATGTCCCTGGTTGAAATCGCCACCTAAATTTTGCTTTTACGGGTTACACAAATTTGGCACTTCACGTTCGCAACATTTACAACCGAAATAGTAAACAATATAAACCATTAGGAGTAACAAACATGATGGCAAGCCGTATGATTTCAGTTCAACATTTAAAATAACATATTAGTATCTCCTAGAAAAATGACTAAAAATTGGACTACCTATATAATTTAACGTTAAAAACGGGCTTTAAATACACAAAGCAAATGAATAATGTCTACCGTAACGTATTCGGCGGATAGACGGAAAATGGGGTCTCTTATGCCTTTCAGGACGAGCCGCCCTTGTCGACTGTTTCGATCGTAGGAATTTTAGGATTGCATTGCACCCGTTGGTGAAGTGTCATACTGTTTACAATTTGTGAGCAACAATTTCTATGCCCAGAATGCTTCGAATAAAATTTGGTGAGTTTTGCACAATTCAATAATCAATTCTTATTTTAATACGGGGTCTTTAATTGGATCAATCCGTCTAAATTTACAATTGCGCGAGCTCTGTGTTTCACGAGGTTTCAGCTCCGTACATTACATTCCTTTAGTTTAGTTAGTTCGTTGAAGTTAGGTTGGTAGCTTACGCGCAAGTTTTCTGGGTGGAAAACGCTTCGATTTAAAACACAAATTTGAAGTTTATTTTCTTTCCGCATCGTTAGTGTTTTGTTTACTAAATTATGTCCGTAAACAACGAGAATTTAAGTGCGAGAAGGGCTAGCATAGTGGAGCAAATATTGGAACAAGGTCAGAGGTTAAGAAACGCAATGGTCAAATCAATTTTGGACAACGATCCGTTTTATGCTGATACGGTCCATACAAACAAAATTAAGAATTCATTAAAGACGACGGCACACTCCAAGGTAACCAAAAATTTCCAAGAAACAGTTGAAACAAATGTGAATGGAAAAATGTCTGCAGAGATTTCAAATGTTTATTGCGGTTGCGATATTTGCAACATTTATAAAAGGGAAATATCTCTCAGCACGAAATGCCAACACATTCCACCGCTACACCTTTTGGATCGAGGCAAAAGTAAACTTCACAGTTACACTAGTAACGGTTACGACAGCGAGGGAACCGAATCGACCATACGTAGGTTAAATGCGCAAAGTGATTCCGATAGTAAAACCCATTCGGAAGTTCCGAACCCATCGGAGGAAATCACCAAATCAATTCAGGAGAGTTACCGTACGAAGGCAATTGAATATTTCAAATACGTAGATTCGATGAAAATAACAATCCACAGCTTAAGTTTGAATCCGGCAGGAAATAAGAAGGCTTTAACTAGCAGTGTCGATCCGAAGTATCGTTTGCCAACGAGCGTAAGTCACAGTTACTTTGTCGAGTATAGCATTCCCGATTGTTTAAACAATACTATGTCGAAAAGTAATTCGAAGGTTGACTCGGGTTTGAGTGCCAATGTATTTAGGATATGTTCGAAAAAGTTACAAAATGAAGGTCAGTATTGTTTCAATTTTATTGTACTGCCCATGTAAATGTATTTGAGAGTTGCCCTGAACATGAAAAAGTAGTTGTAGTATTGGTCATAGCATAGACCAGGCCTATGGTCATAGTTTTTACTCATTGCAATGCAGGAAAAAACGAGAAATATAAAAACATAAAAACACGAATTGCGAGCAATTTATTTCAATTTGCATGTTTGTGTAAAAATGGTTCTGCTATCTGAACACAGAGCTGAACACCCTGTACAACTGTCATATAATGTTATCCGCCAAAGGATAACTCCTCCCCTTTTTTCATGCAGTGTTGCAGCTTTTTTGAGTTTTCAGTTTCGATTATGAAAATTAATTCCTTATCCTTTAGTATATTTATCTGACAGCCTCTCATACCAAATTCTACATAGTGAAAGACAAAGTATTTGGCTATGAAACATAATAGATACCAAAATAATTAAGTAACCTTTGCATATTTTTGAGGGAATCATATCTACTTGGTCTGAAACGTTATAATGTGTTTGGTAATGAAGGGCAGAGGGTGCCATTGTAGAACTGGACCTCATTTGTTTTTCTCTTAAGTACTTCAATAATATAGATAAGTAACGTTACATTGACAATATATATTTTTTCAATTTTATCAATGAATAAGTATGTTTCTGTTGAACATTGAGTTTATACTCTCGTCGACTCTTCAACGATTTCACCAAGTGAAAAACAATATTCATGTTCCTCCTTCCTCAATGATTCCAGGTATAGGTACTTTCAGCTCGTTACTGTCGCAAATGGCAGCAACGCTACTTTGAAAAACGCTCCCTACAAGACACGTATTGCTCAGTAGGTATTATTTGTTCTTACTAACCATGTAAAATTTTGTTTTCATTCCTTAATTTAAAAAATGCCTTTTTTCTTGATTTCCTAACTCCATTTCCTTAAATGGACCTCCCTGTATATTTTAATCTCAAAAGACAGCATATTAATTTTCTTTTTAACACTAGAGATGATATTAAAAAAATTCAAGTGATTCAAGATTTTTGAATTTTTTTAATTTTTCCAAAATCTTTTTTAAATATTATGTTTGAACCAAAATCGCTGTTTTTAAAATTTTGTTAATGATATATTTTAAGAGAATTTAATATGCTATATCTTTAGAATAAAATATACAGGGTGTTCTATTAAAAAATGAAGTTAGGTTTTAACTGACAACATCTACCTACTTATGTTGAAAACGGCAGAGTATTCAGCAATCATTATTTTGACGTTTCTGTATCTTTTTTAACTAAGAAAAAATAGGGTCATTCTGAAATTGACAATTTTTCGATTTTTCCTCTTATGTCTTAAGCGAGCGAAAATGTTCAAATTTTGATTTTCCCATTTTACGTTTGTCCCATAAGAGCACGTGACGCTTATACGCACTAACAATTACAGGAATAATCTATGAAAGTGTTGAAAATGGGACACCCTGTAAATTGCAGTTATGTTGAATTCAAGGTTTAATTCATCATATATCATTTGGTTTAAACCTTCGGTTGTCAGCTGAGTCGGTGCTGGTACCTCGAGTGCCACCAGGAGGTTCCCACACCTTGCTCCTGGTCAAGGACGGTCGTTTCCTGTTTGTTGCCGACAGGTAAATCAGTTGAAATAAACGGTTGGTCGGTCACTGGTGGATAATCTAAAACAGAATTACGGCTAAACAACAATATCCCAAAACGGGAATGGAAGCAAAAATTTAATTAATCAACTAGTACCTATAGCTATTGGAAAGCCAAACCAAGGAAGAGACCCCTTTTCAACAACTGTATTAAAAAGTGTCAAACAACTATCTTGAAATTGTACGGCACAGTTGGATAAATTAAAAAAAAAATCGATAAAGCCTAAATGCACCCGTTATCAAGAAGCAAAACTAAAAAGATCCCCTCTAAATCATGTTCTTTCCTTTTTGTTTTCCAAACAGCACGGCGAACTCGGATGATATCGTTCAAAAATCAAACTTATTTAATTAATTTCTCAGATCCTGTTATAAAAATCTGGGACTAATCTTTAAATTCATGTTAATTAAGCGCGCTTCATTTGACACCAAACACGTGTCAATCAGACGCCGTTTGCTGCAACATTATTATGCTTACGTAATAAGCCAGATTGAAATTTCCAAAATTCGGTAGTCCAGTTAACAAGCATTGTTGATTAGATTCTCGGGTCAAGCGAGAGGTCTGCTTATCTAGATATTCATTTTCGTGCGTATTCCAAATGACGAAAGCTTTCGGAAGCTGCAAGAATAATGAAAATATCTACTGGAGATTCCATCCATGTACTGGGTGTTCATTAATTCTGGTATAAATCATTTACGAAAACGGCTGCTTCGTTACATTCTCGGTTACAATGGAGTTATGGGTGGTTTTCACCTCACAGTTATTCTTTTTGCGAAGACGTGCGAAATTGTGTATATGCCCACGCTAGGGGGAAACAACTTTGAATTTTTGGTGTACACCTCACTGAATAAATTTGAATTAACGGAATTAAGTTGAATTAACGTGAATTAATTTGAATTAACGTGAATTAAGTTGAATTAACGGGAACTAACGTGAATTAATTTGAATTAACGTGAATTAATTTGAATTTTTGGTAAATTGTACTTGTTTCCCCCTAGTGGCCACCTATTTGATGATTGCCAGTATGTTCTCAGAGAAATTTTGGCGTTGAAACAGTATACACACAAACTTACTTAGATTCTATCCTTTTTTTTGTCGACCAATAACTGCGGTGTTGCAGATATTTTCTTGAATTTTCGAAATCTAATTTTGGTTCTCATTCTCATGTTGAAAATCCTCAGGGACCAAATTTCATCGAGAGAGAGAGAGAGAATTTTGTTTTTACCCCCATTTGGGATGAGCCATCTTAGAGTAAAAATTGTGTGTTTGATAGGATGGCGCTTGCAGACACATTTGTTAAAAAAACTGAAATGTTTAGACAGTAGAGTACAGTATGAGTTCAAGGAATCATTGCAAGACTGAAACTGTTTGGTTTAACTTGTGTGAACATCCTGTACAATTATTTTTTGTTCTCGTTTTTTTTATACAGTAGGTATACAGGGTAGTTCAGATTACTCGCCCATATTTTGATTTATATTTTTGGTTTTTATTTTTAAGTGGGCGGGGCTTCATCGAAGTATGCTCTACCAACCCAACCCACTATACATTTATAAATATCATTCCCAAACTCTGATTCGAACCAGTAGTACCACAGTCTTTGGTAACCTTGTTTTGACCAATACTACGGCAATCTCACTCGCTACATGTACAATGGGTTTGAAATCATTTAACAATTTTGTATTGTTTTCCAATATCCTGAAAGTCCTAAAATAGTGTTTTGTAGAAATATACTTCAAACACACCTCTATTCATGACATCAATAGTTTGGCGCAATTTAATTTAAAAACGATAGATATAAAGTTTCAAGTTAGCAGTAGGACGATGAAACAAAAACGCGCGAACGTCTTGGGCACGGCAACATTCAACACGGGTTTATTCGAAATAACGAAAAATGTTTCCTATACCGAGGACTTTCCAATTATTAGCGAAGATTTCGTTTTCGGAACCCTTAAAATTACCTTACAGTTGGGTTGTGGTCGAATGTACTTTGGAAAGGAATTTGTGGGTAATATCTTCAGCTATTCATCATTTCACACTACAGTTATGAATCGTTTGCAGAGTTCATTGAAACAAATCGTAAGAATTCCATTTCTACAGTTACCCAGAAGACTGACATGTCGGCGTTGAATACTCCGTCAACTCAAACGGTGCATTCTGTTATATATCAGAGTAAACCGAAGGAAGATTCGTGTAAATACGAGGACAATATGTGCGTCGCACCTCCGAAGCCGAAACCTTTTTTACAAGGCAATATTTGCAAGGAAACATTTTTTGATAATGGTTTCGCGTCAAGTACTGGCACTATGCGGTCAGAGATAAAAAGCGTTAAGGACGAGAACTTGTATGATCCTCATAAAAATGTTTCGTTGGATGTTAGTGATCAAGTATGTTGTCTCGTACTGGTCTTAGAGTCCTTTCATTTCCCATATCAACAGCCTTTATTTAAATAAATTAATCATCACCTCCATCATATTCTCTATGAGTCAATTTTATTTAGTGATGAAAGGATAGGTAAAAATGCACACGTAGAGAGTTAATAAGTTTCACTCACAATTGCACAATATCCTTATATACTATCAAAATCTTAAGATTTTAGCCATGTGTGAACGCCCTCAATGTGCAGTGCATGCCATCACCGGTGTCAAGTTAGCCCCACACTTTTTGAATTTTCAAAGTATTTTTATTTCAATCGTTTGTTGGTGTTTATTAGATACATTTTAACGTTTGTTGGTTGATCGCTATTTAATTAATCAAAATTCAAAAATTTGGGCGTATAGTTTGCCCCCCACTTTTGGAATTTTCAGAATATTTTTATTTCAATCGTTTGTTGGTGTTTTTTATCGTTTGTTGGTTGATAGTATCTTCGGAATAAATTTTGTAAGTTTTGGGCGTGAAGTTATCCCCCGACATTAAAATTTGTGAATTTTTTTTAATTTGCGATCGCTACCCACCAACAAACGACCAACAAACGATTGAAATAAAAATACTTTGAAAATTCAAAAAGTGAGGGGGGGGGGCTAACTATACGCTCATATTTTGAAATTTGAATAATTAAATAACGGTCAACCCACAAACGTCAAAATGTAACTAACAAACATCAACAAACGACTAACAAATGATTGAAATCAATATTCTGAAAATTCCAAAAGTGGGGGGCTAACTATACCCAAAATTTTTGAATTTGAATAATTAAATAACGATCAACCAACATACGTGAAAATGTAACTAACAAACACCAACAAACGATTGAAATAAAAATATTCTGAAAATTCCTAAAGTGGGGGGCTAACTATACGCTCAATTTTTTGAAATTTGAATAATTAAATAACAGTTAACCAACAAACGTCAAAATGTAACTAACAAACGCCAACAAACAACTAACAAACGATTGGCATAAAAAAATTTTGAAAATACAAAAAGTGGGGGGGGGGGGTTAACTTGAATGCCATCTGGGTGTTACTGTCCAGAAGCAAACTAATATTGTCCTGCTAATAAATACAACCACTATAATATTATGTGACCCCGCGAAAATACAGAATTTTATTTGTTACGTAATTGGAACCAATTAATGTCAGCTTCTGAGTTTGTCATTTAAGTATTAACAGGTGAGTATATTATCCAGAAAAGAATTTTCATCTGAAATCGTTGGTCCTAAAGTATTCTAATAATCCAAAAATGGTTAAAAAGTTCATGAGCCATTCTTTCATGCTTGAGTTTTTTTGTTGCAATAAGTAAAGGGTTGTTACATACCTTTCTTTAACAAAGTTTTGAAATTCTGAATTAAAATCATCAGTAAGCACATTCACAAAAAAAGTTGAAAGACATCTTTCGTAATGAGACCGATTGAACTGAGTCTATTGTTGAAAATATCGACAGTTTTAGTTATATTTTCATATCTTGGCACAGTTTGATTATCTCCGCAAGATTTATTTACTGTGTAAAGACTGCATCCTAAAGTTTTTCTTTAACGCGTAATGATGAATTCATGCGATCAGCACGTTTACTTCCGTATTCTAAGAATGTGTTTACTTATTTACATTTGCAATGCTAGACTTAAGAATTTTAAGTTTCCTCTTAGGTTTATAACTCAACAGAAAATGTTTACACTACAACTTTCCCGAACTACCTCTGTTGTTTAAACTTATCGTTGGGAAACGATAAAAAAAACTAATTCAAAATGTTCCACACCGAAAAATCTAAATTCCTTTTTACTTAAAATCTTGCGATCTCTCCTCGCTTGCTGAGAGATTTCATCTATCTGTTAGTTGAACTCCGGTCCCCTCTTTAAATATTGAGTATTTTTCACACCCACAAATGGCGGATTAACTTCAAAATGACGATGTATAAATTTTCTTTTGGTTAGTGTTTTTTGTACTGCCAATCCCGAATGGTTTTAAGACTGTTAATCAGTAAAATTACGCGGTCAGCAACAAGGACGCGTTGAAAACCAACAGTGTAAAATGTCTCAATTTTGGTTGATCGCAATTATCCAGATAAATTCCTTACATCTTCATGACCAAAATTTGTTTGGGAAGGCACTTCAAAAGCTTATAGCCCAGTCAATCTAGGTTAAATAAAAATGTGGGAGGTGGCCACATGCCTCCACTTAAAAAATATTGAAATTTTAATACCCCACACTCTGCAGACCGATAATGAAGCGTTTGCGGACCTATGTTTATATAAACGTTTAGTTATAAAATAAGGCCCCTTCCGTATTATCATTTATCATATTTAGGAACACCCTGTATATTATCATAAAAATTTGAAATCACATGTTTCTACCGGCAGCCATTTTTATTGATTGATATCGACTACCTTAGTTACCATGGATACAATAAACAAAACAAAATCTCCATGATTCCATGACCTACTAAAACAAGGTTTTTATTGTGGCCCTAAAATTTAAACCTACATCTGGCATCAAAAATAATAGTTGGAATTTGAAAATCTGAAGTTTTTGACATTTCTGGTTGTTAACTTAACTTTTCAAAAATCGCAGCAGCCCTGGACACGTTTTCAAGACTTTCGGCGGTTATAAAAAAGAGCACTCACTTATCTTCAACGAACAGGTACGAATTTTTGAATGGACCCTTGTATCTTCAAACTTTTAGAGAAAAATTGGCATATGTCAAAAACTATGACAGATCTTAATTTGTTAATTTAGAATGAAATAGCACAGTTAGAAAAAAATAGAAAATGGTGTTTCTATTTTTAAAAAACCAAGATGGCGCTACTTCCGGTATTTACGGTAACGGCGCCATCTTGAAATTATTTTATGAAAATCTAACGAACGGGCTACGTCAATTTTCCTGTATATCAGCTCCAGAATAACTTAGTGTTATATATTATGAACGAGATTATGAATAAAAAGAATGGGGTGCTCTTAATTGTTCATTTCTAGTTTGATTCTGATCTTACATTTCGAAAAATTCTATACATTTCAAATTAAAATGGTACACCCTATATACTGTAATATTTTTACATTTTTGGATTCTGCATATAATTTTATACGTGATTTTTAGTAATTTATATAAGGTTGGTCGAAAAATGAATTAAGCTTTATTTTATTTTTTTTGATCTAGGAGGCTATGAATGGACCACAATCATACTTCATTGGCTCTAGATTACTACAAACATCATATTTGCTTAACTGATTTAATATTTTAAACAATTTTGAATTTCTCAGTATTAGGTTTATACCAAAGAGAGCTACTCTTTTTTTTAAAATAGCATAGCTCCTCGCCTGGATGTTTTGAATTAAACTGTATATAGTTTTCAAATTACCACGCTCATTTTATAATCGTTTGTTATGCTTACACATTCATTATTTTCTTGACCAGCCTTGAATAAACAACATATCAAGTATAAAATTGTATGTAGAACACAAGAATGTGAAAATATACAGGGTGAACGATTTAAATTCGTAATTTATGGTAACTTTCCGCTAGGTGATTAGGTGTTGAGATTATACAATTCGTTATTACTCCATCCATATCGCCCATTATACCAAAGTTAGTTACTATATACATACATATAGGTACCTAATCGACTGGACTGTTATGGAAGCGTTAGTTAATCAAAGAGGTGATGGAAGGTGGCGATCCAGTTTAAGCAAAAATTTATAACTGACGCGTTTACACTTTTTTGAGGATACCTCAAGTACTTATACTCACTCCGAGACTCACTCACTGTGTTTGACATATTAATCTGTGACACCATCTGCATCTTGGACTGTAGATATACCCTGCCAATAAGCACATTGGGCTAAGATCTAAGGATTGTGATGGTATATGTATATTCATTGAATTTCTTATAAATCATCACCCTTATGTTCAAGCTTTTTTCCACTGTAGGCGAATACATTCAATCATTAAACATTAAAATTGTTTGCGTACGTTTCACAATGATACTAAATATCTTCGCTTTAGTATTGCAGTTTTTAAGTTTTTTTATTTGTAGAAAATAATTTTATATGGCTTAATTTATGTTTCGGAGGCCAAGTATTTTGATGGACCTGTAAACTCGTACCTCACTAGTCAAGCGTTTAGTCTTGGTGACACTTTAAGTAGTAGAGTAGTTTATAACAGTAAAGACCCCGTATTTAATTTCTATCAGGTTTGTTATTTTTTGTTGAACACGAGTCGTATGTATTAACGTTTTTGTTTTAGAAAGTGCCTTTTTTATACGACGCAGCGTTTTTGAAGTATTTACAAAGTAGTGCTATTATTATTGACTTTTGGGAAAGATACGATGACGAGGATGTCGCCATTGGAACTTCACAACTGTCTCTGTATCAATTTTATGTTACCTATAGAAATAGAGTCATAACAAATACATTGTTACAAAATAGGGTGAGTCACATCTACCATATTATAGTAGCCGTCTGGGGAAGTCCCTAATAATAAGAAGGTAATTCTCCAAGAAATAATTTTCAGTTGCCAGTAACGATAGCGGATTGGTGGGAACCGATATGCAGTCCGATTAATGGAAAGTTGTATGGGCAAATGAAAGTACTTATCGCTATCGGGACGGCCTCTCAGATTCAGAATCTCGAAATAGAAAGAGGTCTAAAGGACGAATCGCTCTCCGTAACGTACATTCCCATTGTGCCCGAAGCCGGTAGCGAAAAGCGCCCAATTTCAGATGCACGAAAGTCCAATGAAGTTGTGAACCAAAGGCCACCTTTGCTCAAGAAATCCAACTGCGCGAATAAGCAATCTCAAAACAATAAGGAACACGCAATAACGAATGGTAGCAATCGAAAATCTCCCAAGACTGCGAGCAGCTTGCCTCCGCCTGTAAATGTTCCGAAAGATTCCGCCAAGGTAGTTGATAAGGGTGTCCAATCTGATGTAAACATGGAAGAAAAAAACAATCAAAACTTGTTGGAAGCATTTTTAACTCAGCTAATGGAACAGAAGCAGCAACAAAAAAATAAGTTCGTCGAAAGTGCAACCAATACAGACGTGGACAATAGCAAAAGTGTACCTAATGAGCGTTTAGACTCCACAGTTACCAATAAAGTTGAAGGTTCAACTGCCGAATTACGAAAAACCTCTGACTTGTTAGATTATTTAAAAGATTCGTTGACGTTAGATTCTTTGACGTTGGACAAGAAGTCGTTAAATACGGAAAATGTATACGATGAGGACAGTTTTAAAGCGCGCATAGTAATTGAAGGGGCTTTGCATTTACCTTCTAGGCGAAAATGCAAAGTGAAGAAATCGCGAAGAAAAAGCCCGGGAGCAGATGAATTGTTACCTAGTACTTATGTTACCTTTGAAACGGTGCCAGGCGCCGATTTAAAAATTACGCCGGTTGTTTGCAGAAGTGCCAATCCTCACTGGGACTACAAGTGTGATGTATCACTTCCCGGTGACGTCTTAACGAATGTAAGTTATTTCCCTAAAAAAAATACTTTATCTTCTGGTTGCCCACCGATTTCACAACTGTCTGTTCAATAAGAAACTTAATTAAAAACATCTTTATTGTAGAGTCAAAAGAGATTAATATTTAAAGTGTGGAGGAAGACAAATGTAAATGCACCACAGCCCAACTTACAAACTGATGTTGTGTTGGGGTTTGCAGCTTTAGATCTGACTGTGCTCACTGCAGGATTGCCATCAGTACAAGGATGGTTTAATATTGTAGATTTTTCTAGTAAATGCAATGGCCAAATAAAGGTATGTATGTGTAAAATTATTAACCCAATACTTTTCCTTAGCGCAGAGTAAAATACTACGAGACAATGTTTAAAGTGCCTAGTTTAAAACAATCACCTTGATAACGAATGCGTTTTTATTATCTACACATTGAATTATTTGACACAAAATAGTATAATCAAGACTTTAAAGCATGCGCAACAAATTTAAAGCGAAGTGCCTTTAAACTTTGCAAGTGTTTTAAAGACCGATCTAGGAGTTTCTTATATTTTTTATTATACCTGCAGTATAATTTACAAATAAGGGAATTAAAATGAAATTATATTGACGTTATACTCGAATACATTTCTAATTAAGTGGGCTGATTATTCGAAATTTCATGATTGCTATGGAAATGTCACTTGGCGTTTGCTTATAAAAATCACTGTCTATTTATAAATAAAATGACTTGGGTTGAAATAGTACATTATACAGGGTGAGTTTTTTTTCATTTTAAGCATTAGGATCTCGGAAATCGTAAGGTATAGAGATTCGGTTAAGTGAGGAAAGAGTTGTAGTTTTAAGAGCTTATTCAAGATATGCTTTTGTTTTTTTAAAAAAATCCACAGATTACTAGGTATGAGCGAAAAACAGGTTTAGTGATTTTTCATTTAACTGTTGTAGAATCGTAAAGGTGGGTTCATAGCTCTCCGTTCATCCGTTGCGTTGATCCGTCAAACGGATAGTACATTTTGTTAAGGTTCATAGCAATCCGTCCACATTGTACATTTTCAAGTATAACCATAACCTATACTTTATTTTGTACTGTACCCTCCGTCATTTTCAGTATGTAAAAATGGTACGAAAGTAAGAACACATTGCTATCTGGTTATTACCGTGAAGAACGAATAGGCGAACGCTGTTAACGTACCAAACATAACCTCACTCTTGTTAAAAACGGACCAACGGAAACGTAAATGTTCAACTTCAACCAACTTTTCCTTCGTAAACGGACGACGTACGATTTAAAAATTTGCTGTCTTCTGATTGGCTAACGGACAAACGGAAACGTATGAACGGAGAGCTATGAACTTACCTTTAGTATTAGAAATACAGAAATATGCAAAGAACAAAAATTGTAGATTTTTTCCGCTTAATATAAGATACATTTATTAAAATTTATTCTTCTTTTTATAATTTTCGAGTTATAACGCAAACTTACATTTTTTTAAATGGTAATCATAGTTGGCTGTGACATTTTTAAAAAGTGCATTTTTTTCTGTTGACAATGATATAAGGTTCATTGTACTTACTTTGACAAATAAACATGATACAGAACTGTTTGTATTATTAAGAGTAGTAAAAACAGATTTTGCCATGGGAAACATTTTTTTTCTCTTAATTACTGTCTATTATAATATTTAACTTGCAGTTAGTTGTGCGGCGGGGCACCGTTGTGTTGAAACCAGCGTAAATTACGTCGTGTTTCCAAATCTAACCCATCCTACATATCTTGAAATTCATTTGGTAGAAAATGAAGATAAAATTGGCCTGTCCAATTTTCGTCGTAAATGAAAGGTACCTATCTCACTAGATATTGTTTTCCATGGCCAACTCTGTTACTTATCTCTCAATAATACGAAAATTACTGCAGGGCGTTTATTTATTAAAGTACATTTGGCAAGCCTTATATCGTTATAAAGAGAAAAATTTGTCCTTTTTAAAAATGTCAAAGCCAAGTATGACTACCATTAAAAAAAATTAAAATTTTTATTATAACTCAAAAATTGTAAGATCTAAAAATAAATTAGTATGTTCATCATGTTAAGCATTAAAATGTCTAAAACTTTTATTCGTGTCATTTTGTTGTATTTTTAATAATGATTCTACAACAGTTAAATGAAAAATCACTAAATCTGTTTTTCGCTCTAATCTAGTGAACTGTGGATTTTTTTCAAAAAACAAAAGCATATCTTAAATAAGCTCTTAAAACGACAACTCTTTCCCCATTTAACCGAATCCGTATGTTTTATGGTTTCCGAGATCCCAATGCTTAAAATGAAAAAAAACTCATCCTGTATATCAAGGTAGAGAAGTCCAGTATTATTGCCTGAGCACCAAGATTACATCTGGAGGCGCAACGCCGAGGGGTGTAAGGTGCGAAGGCAATAATAGACTTTTCTACAGTGGTATATACACGGTGTCCATTTTTCGAGTGCCACTATGGGGATCTCACTTATCTTAAGAGATAGAAAGTTGGTTAAATGGGGGCAAAGTTGCAAATTTCCGTGCTGAATAAGAATCTGAAAAGAAATTTGAAATATCTTCAATACTTTTGAAGATATGACAAAAAAACGAAGTTTTTAATTTTTTTATGATAAACTAGTCGTAGTAGACATTTCTAATTAGCACATTATTCGGACACTTTTTAATGGAGATTTCAAATAGGTATGGCATCCTGTCTTTAATTACGTTCAAGATGACGGAGAAACACGTTGCAACTTTAGCTTTTCTTATGGGCGCCATATTGAATGTTGACATTTTGGGATTACGTCTTTTTTTCTCTTTACAACGATATATCACACATACTGGTTCAGTATCACATTTTTTCCTAAAAATACAAATTTTCATTTTTTGAGAAGAGTGCTTTGGAAAAACAAAACGTTCTTTTGTTGTCAACAAAAGTTTGACAATTTGATCCATCTGTCTGGTTACAGCGTTGTCAGAGAAGTAGAAATTCGATTTTCATCTCAACCGCTCGCAAAATTGCCTGCTCATATTCATTGGGTCTATCACCATATTGCTGTCTACATCTTTTAAAAGAACCATATTCGCCCAAGTTTTTATGCAGCAAAGAAAAATACCTCAAACTAGGCTGTTGCCCCTCTGGATAACGCTGCAAGTATGTTGCAGCAGTCATGTGGGCAGTTTGATGAGAAGTGTAGTAAATTTGGATCATATCTCTTTGATCTGCACTTGAAAAAGGCATTTTCGCAATACAACTAGCATAAACCTAAATGACCCTACATGAAATAAATCAACCTTTTGTTCACAACAAAAGAACATTTTGTTTTTCCAAAGCACTCTTCTCAAAAAATGAAAAATTGTATTTTTAGGAAAAATGTGATACTGAACCACCATGTGTGATATATCGTTGTAAAGAGAAAAAAAGACGTAATCTCAAAATGTGAAAATTCAAAATGGCGCCCATAAGAAAAACTAAAGTTGCCACGTGTTTCTCCGTCATCTGGAGAGTTATTAAAAACAGGATGCCATATTTGAAATCTCCATTAAAAAGTGTCCGAATAATGTGTTAATTAGAAATGTCTACTACGATTAGTTTATCATAAAAAAAATAAAAACGAAAATCAGAAATTTTTGTTTTTTTGAGATATCTTCAAAACTATTGAAGATATTTGAAATGTCTTTTCAGATTCTTATTCAGCACGAAAATTGGCAACTTTGCCCCCATTTAACCAACTTTCTATCTCTTAAGATAAGTGAGATCCCCATAGTGGCACTCGAAAAATGGACACCGTGTATACTATTTTTTTCACTACTAGGACTTGAAGTCCTCTAAATTAACATATTATATTGATAAGAAAGTGAACGGTTGGACAGAATTTTTTGTTTATTAATTTTACATGTCAATCAAGTGCGTGGAAGTACAAGTCAAACAAGCCGTATTTTGTTCTGTCATTGAAATATTTTCAAATAGTAATTTCGTTCGAATCTTTTCAATATTAGGTATGTAATTTCTCTGGAAATGGCGGATGGTGGCAATTATTCATTTTAGAGAACTTGTCTAAACGTTTATTGAGCGAAATTTTGAGTTGTGTTTTCTAAAAGTGACAGCGTGACAGTTCTCATTTAGTTAATAATGTCCACATTATTAACCACTTTGAACAACTGCCGAGAAAGCCTACTTTACAAGTGGAAAAAAGGTTAATAATCATGTCATCAGATGCTAGTAGTGAAAAAAAGATAATACACCATCCATTCAGTGACTTGTTGCAGAAGCAGAAGAAAAGTTGGTGCCTGTAAAATCCAAATGCAAAAGCCCATTACAAAAAATATAAACAGTTGTTGGCGTGGATTAATAGTAATAAAAATAATAATAATGTATATGTATTTCATGAAAATGTAAACAATGTACTTACACTCGTCCAAAAAGAAAATAATGGGAAATAATAGGAAGCATCTTTCAAACAGAGTGTTAAATGCATGATTTATGGTGCCATATATGAAGGAAATGTCAAAGGTGGGTATTTAAATCTTCTACCTTTTGGTGCATTCGTTTAAAACTTCAATCAATACTGCGATTAAAAAGGGGAACATTTGACAGCATACCTACCCTAAACCACGTGCTATTATGAAAGCTTCCAACAAAGGATACAAGCCAAAGGCATCTTTTGTATTTGGTGAAAGCGAACCAAGAGAATTTTTTTCAGTCCCAAATTATAGTTTCATATGTCATATTTAAAGTCACTTGGCAACCTTTTAAGCTCGGCGTACTTTAAACAGCAATTCTGATGCAGGTATAATAAAAATTATACAGGGTCCCCATTATGTATGGAATATAGGTAGTATATATCTCTATAAGTATCATTTATATACAGAATGTTTCTATATGAAAGTTGTTTAACATTTTATTTTGATTTCAGAAAACAAATGAGTAACAAAAAACAATTGAATTTTTTAAAGTAAGTTTGCACCCTCTCATTAGCTTCATTTGATAGAGATCTTTTTTTCTTTTTTTGATGATGTAACATGTTAGTACCCTAATACAAGAACATTTTTCAACAAAATTTTAATTAAATCAATAACATTAATCTAGATTCTTACATCAAAATAAAACAAATTAACGTGTACTTACGTTTCTTATTAAACCTTGAGGACAACACGAAATTAACAATAATTGCTACAGCAATTTCTCCCAGAATACTCGTACATTCATTTCAATTTTCCGTGATGGGCAATCAATAAAAATATTTTGAACACTTATTGCGATAAAACCATGTTACTGCTAATTCCATTTTGTCTTCTTGTTTAATAAGAAACGTACACGTTCATTTGTTTTATTTTGATGCAGCATTAATGTTATTGATGTACTTAATTAAAATAAATTTTTTTGAAAAATTTTCTTGTATTAGAGTAGATACCAACATCATTGAAAAGTGAAACAAAAATCTATCAAATGAGCCTAATGAAAAGGTGCACTGCCATTTAAAAAAATTCAATTGTTTTTACTTACTCATTTGTTTACAGAAATAAAAACAACTGAATGCTGCCTTATTGTGGGAAATAAAATTTGAAATAACTTTTATTGGAAAGGAGTTAGTGCGGAGGTACCTGTTGTCTTGATTGATGGTGTTTGGAACGTGGAAGGGATTATAAGACTTAACTTAAACAACCGCGAGTGTTACGCCACGGTCTTCGGCCGCCCGCGTGTCCCGCTTGTGGTGGCTGATGCAATCAGAATTTGATTGAAAAATGAAGCGCGATGGTGTGTAAGACATGAAAGCAATGATTACTGTAATTATGATTTCGTCCGTCCTAGAGAGTTCAGTAACACACGCCAACTCCTAAGTCTTTCTTCACAATTTGGTTAATTTATTCACCAAAACTTATCGCACAAAATCTTGGGTTGCCCACTAAGACTTCCTGCCGTTTTTCGCGCTATTAGCCGTGTTTTTTTTCGCCTAATGGCCCTCCGCTCGGAACTTTTTGACTTCGCGCTCGAAAGCAAAACTGTTATGTTTAACGACGCCGTTGATGCTCTTGTGGTCAAAATCCGAATGCCCTACTGCCAGATCCTCCTTTTTTGGTCCTCATACAAATTTAGTACACCCAAAAGTTGCCATCTTTAATCATGAACTAATCTGATTCATTTAGTTCAACATATTACGCGCGCGCTATGGCCATCAATCAAATCCACGGCCGCTTTAAAACTGCAACCTAGCGATGCTCACGAAAGCTGCATAATCTCACTGTCATATCATCCTCGTTAAGCTGTTTTGGGCACGTAAATCCCATTATGATTGTATTATCGCTTGTTTAACACCCGCCCGACTGGTGCTAGTAACTAATGTACAATCCCGCAGTATATTTTTATATGGCGTGATATATCTGTAGTATTTTAATCTGTGCTCTCAGTCATTTTGAACCATCCACGCACTTATTTCCACCTTGCCATAAGCTTTGAAATTGCTGCATAAGATTGGGTGTAATTATGTATAACTTGCAGATACATATAACACCATTGGAAAATATATCAAGGTTTATGGAGGCGAAGAGTACACCATCATCCTACCGCGTCGACAGCTCTGATTCTTCAGTTAATAAACTCGCGAAGTCACATAAAAATGTTGTTTCATCAGCACTTGTCGATATCGAGGAATCTCCGGGAGAGTTATTGGGTCGAACCTTAAAACGTAAATTCACAGAGCTGGAAGAAATAACGCAGAGATTGCGCACCAGATTGGCAGATGTAACGAAAGATGATTCGGACGCGTCGAACGACGATTTTGCGGACGAGTTCGACAGAGACATCAACACGCTGTCGGTGGAAGAGGATTACAATATGCTCGATTTGAGTACGTCGGAACTTACTAGTGATTTAAATCTTCAGCCATTTTCGCGAGTTGAAAATGATACAAGTAATTATTTGCTGAAGGAATTTAAGCGAAGCGACGCGCCGTCGATTTATTCCAAGGGAATATTCCAAAGCGAATCATTTCCAAAAGGAGCATTAAGCGATAGTGCCTATGGTTCAGTTTCTCAACGGTATACCGACAGTCCGATAGTTTTGGATACATTAGATGTAAATTATTCAAACCAAATACTTACGCCAAGGGATAAACAATTAATTGCGGGAAAGCAACAAATTAACACTTTGCTAGAAAAACTCTCCCTATTAACCGGAGGCGGAGGAGATAATACCTTTTCCAGTCGTTATGTCTCTGGATGCTCGGTCAATCAAGAAAGTGAAGCAACTGTACATGCTGCCAAAATAACTCAACCTGCAAGTGGTTTTAATTTAGATTCCATTTTGAATCCAGAGCTCTTTGATCGTTTGTGTTCTGATAATGTATCTTCAACTAGTTTGCCTGAATCAAATGCAACCGAAACCCACAATGGATCTAGTAGTACAAGCATATTAACGCAATGCTCAAATCTAAGACAAGCTCCCGATGGTGCTGGAAATTTTAGTACCAGTATTAGCAGCACTACAAATTCTCTCAATTTGAATTAGATAAGTATTTCAGTGCAATAATGTAGGGTAGGAGTACTAATTTTATTAGAAATGTTTGTAGGTATATATAATTTTAAACGTATTGTGATCTCAAGCTATTTATTTGTATATTTTAAACTAACACCAATTTCTATTTAAATAAATCGTCATGGTAATTTTATGCAAAAGCATTAATTTGATCAAATTATTTTAAAAGTAGATGCCTATCCACTTACATTTATCAGCAGCATCTTGGATAAAATGAAGAAAAAATCAACTATGCTGGACGTGAAATATTCTTAGCAGACTCAACTAGTGTAAGGATATACGGAAAAGACTAAGCATAATGGTATGCGTAAACTGGTTGTTTTGTAACAAAAACATCAAGTTTATAATTTCCACATAAACAAATTACCAAATACTTAAATTAAAAATTTAATGTCAAAACATTAGACAATGGTGCACAAATTAAAATTTTCTTCACTTTACGATCATCGTTTATCACTCCTCTCCTCTCTTTCCTTCCTTTAGGCCAAAACCACGTAATCAAAGCAAAACCACAAATTAACTAAACTAAAATTACGGGAACGTGGAAGTTAGTGAATTGTAGCTCGTATTGCACATAGATTCTAAGCCGAAGAGTTTTTGTGTTACCGGTTCCACCCCTGGAACAGGTAACGATATGGACCCTAGTGCAGGATTTTCCAGCCTCTAGTTGAGATATGAGAACAGTTGCGGCATTCGGTGTCGTAACTAATGTGGTCAGTGATTTCACCTCCGTGACTGTCTCATTCACGACGAAAATATTAATCCATACACACATCAAACTTCAAACAATTCGATATAATTTCCACATACCCAGTTAGTTAAAAGGATGATCAAAATTTATAAATTTCTCTTCGGATCAAGACCATGTAATTAAAACAACTCTAAGTTAAGCAAACATTTACACCAAAAATGAAAGCTATTTCAAAGAATAAAAGTAGGGAGGTAGTACAAGGACCCGAATTTGAGGTCTAGGTACGCGTGGACCTTGTCCACCCTTATATCATAATCCAGAAACAAAAGTTAATGGTATCAGACACGATATTCTGCATTTAGGTTAAATCAGTCAATTTCAAAAACAAAAAAAATAAATATGCATACAACATATTCCTTGATACAACTAAATTATAAATAAATGCAAAGTTGACTACCTGCAAATCACACAAAAAACATAACGGACGTGAACTATAAGATGCTTTCTCAATCACCGCTAAAACCAAGATGCCAAACCATCTTTCGTGCTGTAGGGTTTAAATAGCTTTCTCATTCTAAAAGTCACCCAGTTGCCAGCTCTCAAAAAATGTGTGCATCATCGTATGTTGTATACAGGCTCTGATTCAAAATTTAAGGGCCACTATGGGGATCTCGGAAACTGTAAGAGATAGGTAGGTAGTTTAAATTTGCTAAAGTTGCGTATTTTGATTCTTATAAAATACCGTTATGAAACAAAGAATTCCGAAAACTGTCGGAGATATCCTAAAAAAACGAAATTTTGCAAAATCGTTTTAATATTTTTACCGAAGTCATTTAACAAGATATTTTAAAATAAATGACACATTATTGTGGCCCCTCTACCACAGGCGTGAGCAACCTTTTTTTCCAAGGGGCTAAAATAAAATTTTTCATATGCGCCACGGGCCATACTTCAAATTCAAATAAAAAGTATGTTTAAAGAAATCAATATTTATCTATTTCTTTTTGGTATTGATCTATTTTTTTGCTTTCGTAAAAATCATTTAAAAGAAACAATGTACTCCTGAAAATTGACTATAAAATTTACCAGACGTGGATAATAAATCTCTATATTCAGTTTGTATCCAAATTTTCATTTATGCTCTTAAGATTCGTTATATGGCTTAAAAATGTTGTTTAATCCCAAAACACGTGTATATATCGCGAGGAAAATTCTGCAAAATACCTGGCGATATCTCTGAAACAAGAAATGCATCTTTAACTAGGCTTTCAAACGTCTTGGAAGCTTCGGATCGCGTGCACTAGATGCTACATGTATAACATAATCTAATCTACGAGTTTACTCGTAGACTAATCATATTAACTAATGAAATAGAATTTTAAATGTAATTTGTGGGCCCTATTAACTATATGAATTATGTTGGCGGGCCGGATTTGTTGCCCAAGCCTGCTCTACAGATGCTAGTTTTAAATTTAAGTATGTTGTTTCATCCCCGGTTAACGAGCATCATATTTCTTTCTTATGGAATTCATTTTTACTGCTACTGCTACTGTTTTTACTGTAAAGTGTGTTGCCGAATTGTACCTAGTAGGTGTCACCACATGACTAAAATTGTTACAGCTTTGTGGCACCTCTGTTTATCGACATTTTCAAGGGTTATTAATTATTAACGGCGATAAAAGGAAATCTTTCATTAAAAAAAGTACCATGAAGTTTTTGAAAGCATACTTTCACACCACCCCATTACAATGTTTTGGCGACACAGTAACTATAGTAAGGGAGAATAAGTATACCTACACATAATTTTTACTAAATCGCCAGACGCAACGTTATTAAAACATGTACAAATTGTGCACAACCCTTGTGCAGGTAAAGCGCATTTTTTTTAAACACCTCTACGAAATTTTTTCCATAAATAAGAAAGTTGGCACTGTACATCCTACACAAAACCAAATTTGGAAAATAGCGCTACATTTGATTTTATTCCAAGTGGCTATGTATCAAATTTCATTTAAATGCCTCCGTAAATAAGAAAGTTAGCACTGCGCATGCGCAAAACCAAATTTTGAAACCGATGTTAAATTTTCTTTTATTCCAAGTGGCTATGTATCAAATATTTCATTTAAATCCCTCCATAAATAAGAAAGTTGGCACTGCGCATGCACAAAACGAAATTTTGAAACTGGTGTTAAATTTGGTTTTATTCCAAGTGGCTATGTATCAAATTTTATTTTAAATATCCAATGGTTATATTTCTTCCAAACGTCCCAATCGCCGTTTTTTAAGATTATTTAAGGAATTATAACCGATCACGACAAGGGATCGAGGAGGAAGACTATGATGGTTAGTATAAATTAATTCCTTTCGTTGAGAGTACCATGAAGGATAAAACTAGTTCCACTCCCCCCTCCCCCCTAACTTTGAGGACAGAAAGAAGGGCAGTAGTTTGTAGAAACCTGTTCCTTTCGATGAGACCTTTAATTAGAAGACAATGAGATAAACTTAATATTTACCCCCCCCCCCCCTCAGGCCCCGTGGCTCGCTGATCTCGAAAAAGAGTCGCACGGGAAAGTTATAGTTTGTACAAACCAATTTATTTCGATGAGACCTTTCATTAGAATCCATGTGTCTAATTTGTTGCATTGTCAGGTTTCATTTACCGCTTGGTTCAGCTATAAATACAGTAATGAGCTTTAGCAGTTTTATTGTGGCTAGGGCTTGGGCGCATGAAAGAGGTTGGTTTAATTTCCCACACACGTGCTGTTATTGATAAGATCTAATGTGAAATTGTTTGATTTAATATAAATAAATCAATTAAGTGATAAAATGATAAACGAAAAATAAATATCTGACCTTGCTTTTAATCGGCAGCGGCACGAATAATACCTACCTACTTGGCTCCTAAAATTGATGGAGTGTTTCAGTATCACAAAAACATGACATAAAAATATCTGCTGATAAAGCGGGAGCGACAAGTACAGATCGTTGATTGAATTGAAGTTTGAGTTATTGTTACGGATTAAGGTACCTATATAAATTGTTTACATATATAGAAATCATACCTATGCTTATAAAATTAAATAATCTTATCTTAAAACAATATATTTTCAAGATGGTTCCAAAATAAACTAAATAGGTAAGCTGGAGGAAATTTCGTCGAAATTTTAGCCCATATTCTCCTGTATGTTATGGTTGTTGAAAAAAGATTTAAGAGAATTGGAAACACACAGGAGAATATGGGCTAAAATTTCGACGAAATTTGTTAAATTTCGACGAAATTTTTCGACGAAATTTGTTATCTAGGTGTTTTGAACGTGAGGAAACCAAACTTGGTTTTTTGAGAATTAAAAAAAACAATTCAACACGACAACCTATGGCTTGGTTGTGCCCAGAAGAAAAATCAGGAAATACTTAGTCTTTTTACTTATATCAAATAGAGGCTCTCCTTATAGCGAATAACTGATAGCCATTGTAGCCAGGTGAAGGCTCTAGGACTTTAGATATAGGTAGGCAGTTTTCTTTAGTGAGAAATGTATACGTACCTTATACCTATAAGTGCATACGTCGCGTCGTACACACATCTTAGGCTACTTTTAGCCTTTCCCTGCCAAAGACCGCTGATTTTGGATTCAATAGGCAATGATGATAGATTTAGGTAGATAATTGTTGCCGATATGTCCAATTTTTAGTTTTTTGCTTACTCTAAAGATACGAGAAATCATACCTATTTCCCACAAACATACTTAAGATTACAGACTCTGATACTACTCAGAAAGATAAAGATTTTGTTTATATAGGCACCTAACGTGCTAAACAGTTAGGTGTATCGTCAGGACATCTATGAGGTGCGCAATGCCGACATCAGCATATCTTCTTTGTGTACTTTTTTGCTTGAATCTGTTCATACGCACTGGTAAGTCGCGCTTTTTTTCGAAATTAGTAGGCTAGTTTAACAATTGCTTGTAGGATCATGCGAAACGCGTATAGTCGGCGGCCAACCAGCAAAGGAAGGACAAATTCCATACCAGGTATGATGGCGCGAATAGTGTCATCTTTTATAATACTTAGATAGAGGGTGTTCTTATCTTAGACAATGAATTAGAAGAAAATTCTGCAATTATTAGTATAGTTAGGGATAATTTATTTATCTGCATAAAGGTTTAAGAGAAGTTACAGTTTCTTAACTTCAGGTTGGATTAAGATCAGCAACTCGGAATAGTCACTTCTGTGGAGGATCAATTATTTCGCCAACTCACGTATTGTCGGCGGCGCATTGTGTCGGGGTCTCCTTCTTCGATCTGTATATGCCAGTACCCGCGCGTGTAATATACGTTTTGGCGGGACAAATACTTTTGGATGTTAAACAAAACAGCACGATGAGATATGTCGAACAAATTGTCGCTCATGAGCAATATGATCCTGTCGACATTCTGAACGATATCGCCTTAATTAAGGTCAGTACTTGAAACAGCTTGTGGGAAGTGCTAATACAAATTTTAGTTGCAATTGGAGCTGCCTCTGAAACCTGGAAGCGCTATCGATTCAATATCGCTCGCGAAAGAGGTGATAGAATCGGGATCTTGCATTGTTTCCGGATGGGGAGTTACATCTTTTGTAAAGAAGAGAAAACTAACTTTTAACCGAATACGCACTAACTTAATGTTCTAGGGATCAAAAAAACCCACCAAGACTCTCTATTGGGCAAACCTGGAGATTTTTCCTTTTTCTGGATGCGTGCAGCAGTATGAATTAGGTGGCGTTCAGATCACAAACGGCATGGTGTGCGCAATGTCAGACAAACTAATTGATGGCGCTTGTCAAGTAAGTAACATGTTGCTTACAAAATAGTTTTCAAAAACTCATTACAGGGAGATTCTGGAGGGCCACTAACTTGCAACGGAGTCCTAACGGGAATTGTCTCATTCGGCGTGGGTTGTGCGCACAAGACTTATCCTGGGGTTTTCACTAATGTGGCTTACTACAGCGATTGGATTGATAGGACCATTCGGAAAGTCGATACAACTACGTCGACTTCCGTTGTTGCACCCATTGTCACAACCCCATCTGTTATTGTGAACACCACTGCTGCACCACCCAAACACAGGAATAGTACCACGGGTAGCGGTAACTCAGCCTCGTTAACGGTCATATCTCCACACATTAATTTATTACTGCTATCGTTGTGTGTGTTCAGCTACAAAATTATGTCAGCAGTTAATTGATCTCGCGAATCGCAAGTAAATATATATCTGTAAATATGACAGCATATGAATTTTATGTTAAATAAAATAATTAAAAAGAGATAGAATGTTTCTGTTGCGTTTTCAAATTATTTTAAGTTTTAATGTGAGAAATAGCTAACATAAATTTCAGAAGTGGGATTAATTGGGATCACGGTTAACTTAATGATTAAGTGCGGTAAGCGTTTTGGTGTCGCAATAAAGCGTTGGAGTAATAGTGTGTCAAGGGGTGTGCAAGTGTTTGTAGTAGTGCGCAAAAGTTGAAATTGGTGGAAAAGTCAATGCCTTTGAAGAATGTCAGTCTCATCTCATCACGATGGAGTCATCGGGTGCAGCTGCAAAAAGGGAACTTATTCAATTCAATGATGCGTAAAAGTGCTGTAATCATCTTAGCCTGCTACTATCTTTGGCGGTCTAACGCCAACTTCAAGTCACGCCGGAATATTTGACCATATTCTGTAGTAGATGGAACACCAAACTCTGCCTATTTGAATATTCTCGCTTAAGCTTCCCACGAGAATCTGTCACTCGGTGGAATTGAATTGAGCTAGGAAGCTGTTCTGTCAAGAATTTGGCAACTGTTTTTTTAATTGTCATCGTGTTGTAACGAACATTCCAAAAATTTCCATCAATATCAAGGCAAAAGATTAGTAATCGGCGATAACAAACGAAGGCGGATGTGACGTAATCTTTCCAAAAAGGATCACATGCTTGTTCTGGAACCTTCTAGAATAGTCAGGATACCTTCGGAAGCGCTCGAGAGCTTTCGGGAAAGAGGGGGCGGGGCGTTTGCTATATAAGCAAACGAAATGCGTTTCGCTGCAGTTCCAATTACGTGACCGAAGTAATAAATAGTTCGCACTGTGATAAATTGTGTATTCGTGAGTGATAAATAATATTTATCTAATATAAATCAATTCATTTCAACACTGTTATAAATTTATTGTTAATTATTAATTACAAATAAGATAGATGTATATTTTGGATTCAAAATAAATATAGGTAAATATCGAATGCTATGTGGGTATGCTGTCATTTTTTAAAGATAAACCCCAGCAGTAACTAAAAGTAGATGAATGAACTAAAGACGCTATTTGGTTCGTTATTGTGTCCAGGCCTGCACCAAGGAAGGCATTTTTTCTGCGTTTATTACTAAAAAAGTTATTGTAAAAAAACCAAAATACCGTTCGTCCGTCTGTTCCTTTGTCTGTCTGTCCGTGTGAACGGTAACTTTGTTTAGAAATGTCCGATCGCTTTGACATCTCCGTTAGTTATGAACTGAATTGCATGAAATTCAATATGGGCATCAATTCAAAATTCACAGTGCCCTTTTCGCATCTCGACCATTTAAAAACCGAATTGCAAACTTTTTTGGTAAATGGTAAATGAATGCAAGTGGAAATGCTTTTTTTGTAAATCGTTTACGATTACTTTTTAACTTGTTTCCATAAATATCCGTAAGATTACATGCCATGATACTAATCAGAAAGATAAAGATATTGTTTATAAGCACCTACCATGCTAAGGATTAGGTAATATCGTTTGCCAGTCCATTTATGAGGTGAGGAATGCTGACAATCAATTTTATTAGTGTCTTATTTTGCACCAATCTATTCATATGCACGGGTAAGTAGTATCTATACATTTATTTAAGGACTGGTATCCTTTAACAATGTTGTAGGATTATGCGAAATGCGTATAGTGGGTGGCCAACGGGCAAAGGAAGGGCAAATTCCATACCAGGTATGATGCGAATGGAGTTATTATCTTTTATAATAGATAGGTGGTAAATAGTATAGCTAGGGATAATTTATTTGCCTGTGCATAAGCTTCTAAGAGCAGCTACAGTTTTTTTTTAACTTCAGGTTGGATTGAGATCAGCAACTCGGCATAGCCACTTCTGTGGAGGATCAATTATTTCACCAACTCATGTATTGTCGGCTGCACATTGTGTCGGGGTCTCCTTCTTCGATCTGTATATGCCAGTGCCCGCGCGTGTAATATACGTTTTGGCGGGACAAATACTTTTGAATGTTAGAGAAACCAGTACGGTAAGATATGTCGAACAAATTGTCTCCCATGAGCAATATGATCCTGTCGGCATTTTGAACGATATCACCTTAATTAAGGTAAGTGCTCGAACAGGCTTGTGGGAAGTGCGAATTCAAATTTTAGCTTCAAACGGAGTTGCCTCTGAAGCCTGGAAGCGCTATCGATTCAATACCGTTCGCGAAAGAGGTTACAGATTCGGGATCTTGCATCGTTTCCGGATGGGGAGTTAAATCTTTTGTAAAGAACAGAAAACCAACTTTTAGCCGCATACATACGAACTTAATGTTCTAGGAATCAAACAAGCTCACCAAGACCCTGTATTGGGCAAACGTGGATATTTACCCTTTGTCTAAATGCAAAATCTATTATACGTTCATTGGTGCTCAAATCACAAACGGCATGGTGTGCGCAATGTCCGGTAAACGTGAAGGGAGTTGTCAAGTAAGTAAGTAACATTGCATACGAAATAAATTCAAAAAAATTTACAGGGAGATTCTGGAGGACCACTAAATTGCAATGGAGTCCTAACGGGAATTGTCTCATTCGGTGTGGGTTGTGCGAGCACAGTATATCCTGCGGTTTTCACTAATGTGGCTTACTACAGCGACTGGATCGATTCGACAATTCGAAAAGTCGATACAACTACCTCGACTTCCATTGCAATACCAATTGCCACCACACCATCTGTAATTGTGAACACAACTGCACTATACCACCCAAACACAGAAATAGTACTACGGGTAACTCGGCCTCATTAACAGTCATATCTCCAGACATGGATATATTACTGCTATCGTTGTTGTGTGTGTTCAGCTACAAAATTGTCAGCAGTTAATTTATCTCGTGAATACTCAATTAAGTAGTTTTCTGTAAATATGACTGAGCATATGAATTTATGAGAAATAGAATAATTAAAAGATGAAATGTTTCTATTGTGGTTCCACGTCTCTGTAATTCTGGAGATAATCTTAGTGACCGAGACCCAAGACCTAATGCATAGGTACTCTAATTACTTACAAGGATGGTGATATTTGGAACACCGGATTCCCTATGTTGTAAAGACCCGGATAAACGGATGTTACAATTTATTTGATCTCCTCCATCCTCTGGTTAATCTTCCTATATCTTAATGAAATGGGGCGTGGTTCTTGGTGTGCAATTGTGCGCCGGCTAGCTGTCAGTTAGTGATCCTCTTCTGGCTTCTGAATGCGTTCTTATTCTGGTGCCTCTTTGCTGCAACAGAATAACGTATGAGTAAATGGGGGTGTGAGGCGAAACAATTCCGTAAAGAAAATAGTTAAACCACATTCATTCGCAAAAACATACTTCATATTGATAGAAAATATCCATCAATATTTATAAATAAACTCACTCTATAATGATCACAGTCAGGTGCTAAAAGACAATTAATTGTATTTTTATAAACATACTGTACAATAAAAATAAATCGGACTGCAACCGTTAATATGTTAAGAATTTTCAGGTGCGAGTCTAAAAGAAGCAAATGGCGTCCACAAAAACACCAGCTTAATGTAAATCGAGGTAGTTGGCCAATAATCTTCACGTAAGTATACCGTACGGTACAACTTACAACGATGCACACATTTTTGATTGCTGACAACCGCGCAATTTATTAGAATGGGAAAACTGTCCGTGCAGTCTAAAGCACCAAGGCCTGCTATAACGACATATCTTCAACTATCGTCACAAAAGAATCGTGCAGTTTAGTTTATTAAGTTTTTATATTTTTTATAATTTTTTATTTTTTGATTTGATAAATCTAACCTCAATACTTGACCACGTGTACGTAAAGTTCCGTTAAATTTTATTGTTTGAATTCGCTTTCATTGTTGGTGTAATGTTTGCTTAATGCTTAATTTATGTTTATGTTTTGATTACATGGTCTTGTCGTTAAAGTAAATTTATATATTTGGTCATTAATTTAAATGTTGTAAACTAACAATTTCGCCTTGAAGGAACGGTCACAGGGGTGGTAAAAAGCTAAAATCAATTGAGGTACGACACTTAATGCTGGGACTGTTCTCGACTCTCAACTATCTCGAACCTCCCGAACGAAGGCCCAAAATTTGATCGGAGGCGAGATTCTGCTAACAAAAACTCTTAGGTTTAGAATCTATGTACGATATTCAGTTGCGCTTCACTGATTTGCACATATTTTGTTGTTAACATTGCATTTGCCCTACAAGGTCATTTAATTATCCATCTTTCTTTAAACAAGGGTTTTATTGCACCAAAGATGTACCTACCCTGTTTTGTTACCGGCTTGTACCCCAACCAGTTCGTAATACCTATCATGTTTTATCAATCAATTGCAACAAATTATCTTACACATTGACAACAGTTTCACTATTGGTCATTAGATATTATTGACTATTAAAATAGGTAACTGATCAAAATCTAAAGATAAAGCTGTTTAAGATATTTCATCTGTGTCTCATTTTTGATGAACCTCGCTTAGAATTGGGCGAAATACAGCAGACTGATTAGTTTCCCGTACGCGTATTGGCATTCTGTACTATTATTCAGAGCAGCTCTGGTCTGATTCGCAGTATACTATGGCTTCACGTTGTGCGCAATTTGATAATACATTATATACTGCGATTCAGAGCACCGATATGGTTTAGTGTTTGATTTATTACTAAAACAAGCTAAGCACTTGTCACACCAAACCCTGTTAATATCTTCACCCCGTTTTTAAGTCGAAGTTTCGCTTTAAATTCATGTTCTACTAGTTCCAAATATTCGATCATTGAAAACGTATTCTCGTTGCACATTTCAACTAAAACCTCTTGATAGTTCATTTTAGTGCAGTTTGAGAACCTTGATTACACACAAACCACAAGAGTTTAGAGATACCAAACTTTTCTCCCGCACGATTTGACATTCTTTCTGAATCGCAGTATAATTTGGCTAAGGTACACGCGCTTTGTAGAAACCCATTACATACAGCGTTTCAAAACTCTAAGTCTCAACCGTATCGGTGCTCTGAATCGCAGTATATAATGTATTATCAAATTGCGCATAACGTGAAGCCATAGTATACTGCGAATCAGACCAGAGCTGCTCTGAATAATAGTATAGAATGCCAATACGCTTCCCGTACACGTGCTGTTATTAATGTGATGTAATTTGATACAAATAAATCAATTAAGTGATAAGATATATTAAACAAAATACATCTCACCTTATCTATCGACAGCGGCAAGTTGGCTTCGATGGAGAAGTTTCAGTAGGTCTATCATAGAAAAACAGGTGAAGTAAAAATCTCTGCTGATAAGCGAGAGCGATATGTGCAGATTTTCGATCGGGGTATAATGATCAAGTTTGAACTATTGTTTTGGATTAAAAGTGTATAAATTATTTAAATATAAAAAGGTGCTAGGCACTTTAGTCTTATCTTAAACCACATATTTTCAGTGGGCGAAAATTTGGTTACTGGTATATATGTTATACAGGATGTAACAATTAAATAGGTAAAAAATTTGAAATGTAAGGGGGCACAGAACATTTTTTCCAACAGTATTCGTGAGATAAATTTTCCGACTTAGGGCCGGTTTTCTATATACCGTTACCATTGAATACATTTTTATTCAATGGCGTTACATATACCTATCTGACATATTTATATCCATCAGGTAAGTTTAACTGAAACAAGGACAATCTTTATGGCTTTGTCATATTAACATGAGTATTTTATAATAGGTAGCAGCCTAGCAGGATCGGCACCCTTCTGGTTCATTGCCAATTCATACGCAGTTAGTGTGGAAGGTCACATGCACAGAAGAAGTTGTATAAGTATCAGTTTATTATTGTAACGGAAATGTTCCAGACATGATGTCGCCTTTGGCGCTCTGGAATTTTCTACGCGTATTCGAGAATGTTCGGGACTTACATTGCTTGTATAAATGGTTGCGGACCGAACATCGCGGCAGTCTACTATCGAACGAGATCGAGTACGTATGAAACATCGAGCGCGGAAATATAAATTACGAAGTGTGTGATATAAATAATCGATATAAATTGTACGGTTTTTATAGTGTTTTAGTTTTGTTTAATAAATATTGATATAAATCGAACCCGAATTTATAAATCACGTTACATTGGTGTCAGAAGTGGGATTAATTAAATTAATTAAAAGTAAGATTAAATTAAGTGCTTGTGCTTGTGTATGCCTGTAACAAGATGTGCTGCCGCTAAAATGGAAGAAACGATGCTCAATTTGCTCCAGCAAATCCAAAATGGCCAACAGGTGTTGCAACAAGAAATGAAAAGCAACCAAGAGAAGTTCGAGAAGATGGAAGAAAATTCTAGAAAGATTAATAATAATAATAATAATAGAGATTTATTAAATAGAATATAAAACAAAAAAACAAAAAAGAGAGCTTCCAAACTAAAATAATCACTAAAATACAATATTCTATTTAAAAGGGACAAGATATCGGCAAGCCGGTTTGCAATCTCGCCCTAAGAGGTCGAAAAAGTGTAAATTAATTAGAGTGCTATTTATAATTATACAATGTTCTTAAAAATAAATAAATATTTCTTATACAGACATTTGTTGTAACTGCAAACATAACAGCTTCTTCTTCATAGTTCTCCTAAATGAATTAATGTTATTGGACGTTGTAAAATCAATCATATTAGTATTCAGTATTTTTGATGCTATGTATTCAAATGAACTTTCAACTTTTTGGCTTACATGAGCTGGTATATTGTAGCGTTGAACATGTCTTAGATCGCGTGTGTGTAATTCTTGTCTAGTTTGCAGTAATTCGAATAGATAAGTTGGTCTAAGGGAATTGATTATAGTATAAATAGTGCAAGTATACATGAGATAGAAGCGATGTTCTAGTTTAAGATGTCCTAAGCTAACATAATGGGGTGTTATATGGTCCTGTTTACTAATTTTATAAGCAAAACGTAAGCAACAATTTTGCAGAACTTGCAATTTATGTTTCAATTTAGCTGTCAATAATGGAAAATACACACTAGAACAATAATCTAGATTACTTAAAACTAAGGTATTCATCAAGTTCCATTTTGTTTTTGCAGGTAGAAGGTCTTTAAATTTATACATGTAGGAAAATTTGGCATATCCTTGGCTACACTTTTTGGTGATATGAGATTCAAATGTTAGATGTTGATCAAGGAAGATACCCAGATTTTTTACTGTAGGGTTAAAGGGTATTACGGTGCCACTTATCAAAACACGATTTGTCACTAATGATAAGGCTTTTTGACACATAGTTTTGGAACCACAACACATAAGTTCACATTTTTTTATGTTTAAACTCAAACCATTGTTACTTGACCAATTCGCAACGCACTTTAAATTAATGTTTAAGATCTCGATCGCGGTATTAATGAAGAAAATTCTAGAAATATTCAAGAGAAATTCGAGAAGATGGAGGAAAATTCTAGAAAGATTATCGAAGAAGTCTCTACATCATTTGAAGAAAAAGTTGAAGATAGAATTATGGAAGTTTCCAAAACATTTAAAGCAACATTCGTTGAGATTGAGCACAAGTATGAAGAGCTGCGCGAGCAATTCTTGCGACTGACTACGGAAGAGCGTACTAGTAGTGCCCCAGATGAATTACTGATGGACCGTCTTCTTGAGGTGCCACAGTCTACTCATTACAAGAAGGTCGACCCAGAAACAAATACAAGAGTAGAAGGCGACGTTCAGCAAGCCCGAGTAAAGCCACCTACTTTTGATGGTAAGATTCCTTGGACCACGTACGTTCGACAGTTTGAAGCAGCGGCTGCGGCAAATAAATGGACTCTTCAAGACAAAACTACAGCCCTGATTCTTGCTCTGAGAGGAGATGCTCTGGATGTGTTGCGGACCATCCCCGAGGATCAACAGAACT